AAGAATTGGAGGATGAAATAAGCAAAAGCAAACTTAAGAATAAAAAGCTAAAATCACTTTCTAGGGAGCTAGAAAACTGTTATAAGACATTATCTCACCAGGATTCAACAATATTAGCTCACAAAGATGAGATAACATCTCTTAAGTCTGAGATAAAATCTCTTAAACAGTATCTTCATAAAGCATTACAGGATTTAAGGCATAAAGGTAATGCAAATACTGCTCAAAATATCCATATTTTAAGGCTAGAAGACATGGTTGAACAGCTTAAAAAGTGAATTATGAAGATTACAGATAAAAAATTATCCCAAATAAATAGTTTACCAATGGCACTACCAGATATCTTAAGAAATATTGGTATATCTTAGATCAGATTGAAGGATATATCAATGGCGACACATCATTTGACCTAAGAAATACATTAAATGAAATATGGATCTCAATAATAACTATTCGAGAACATAATCAAAGGTATGCTCAGGAAAATGCAAACTTACAAGATTTGCTTAATGCATCCTATAGGTAGATCAATAGGATTATGAATGATATGACAAATTTTAGAAATGATTGTCTTCAAAGCGTACAGATGATGAAGCAAGCATAGAGGGATGAAAGACAAGCTTGACAACAAAGAGATGATGAAATCAATAATCTTAGAGATACAGTATGTGAAAATGTTTATGAAAAATGTTGATGGAAAAGAAGATATATTGCATGTACTTAACAGGCTCAAATTTAAAAAGATATTATCGTCAAAGCAGAAATAATATAGGATTATTAGAATATAATTAGAATCGAGTATATAATCGATATGAAAAATGGAAAACTAAGAAATTTAATTCGAGGCAAATTATTTTAAATTTACAAAACAATCCTTCAGGAAATATGGCTACTATTTAAAATGTTATGTATACTATTTTTTCAACACTTGCACAGTTACCTGATTATTATAGTCAAGAGCCTCCAGATGTATACTATAAAAGCTTAAAAATATAAATAAAATAGCACATCCATTAGCTGTTGCCAGATTTAATGCGCAAGTAAGAAGCAATATTATGAAAAATAAGATGACTGGAAGGTTTGCACCTGTTCCTGCTAATGATTCTTACGCTGAAGGTACTCCACTTATTAATAGTGAACCTCTCTTCCTAGTCTAGTTGCATGAAAGATATAGAGAAGTTATGGTAGGGATTAACTGAAGTACTATATTTGCTCTTGTTAATGAAAAATTCTTTAAAACAGATACCCCAGATAGTTATGAAAACTGAATCAAACCATTAGTACAAGCAATGCAAGATGCTGATGCTATACCTTATCTATTTAATCATTTGCCTCTGATTTAGAAATGAGAGTTAGAATTGCTAACCCTGCTACAGTCAATACATTTTTTACTGAGTTGCGTAATAAATGGCATGAAAGTGCAGGCAAAAAAATATAAGCTTCCACTCTAGTTAGCATTCAACTACAAAAAGATTCGTTAAATAAAGGACTTAAAGCAATTGCTTTTATGAAACAGCTTGCAGGAGATTTGCAATATACAGAGTTAGCATCAGATGTTGATATTCTAGATTATTTTATTTATGATGATCTTAGTAAAAGACTAGAGCGTAAAATGACTTATGTTAGAAGGAGCCTCTTCTTAGAGTTAGAAGACCTACCAGACGTTGTTGATTTAATAGTAGAAGATCTTAATAACTCTGTAACTCGCTTGCTTGGTATAACTCCTGCGGAAGTGATAAAAAGAATAGTATCTTTGCCAAGCTTTTTAAACCTTGAAAAAGGCCTGTGAGATATGATAAAGAAAGATTATCTTATAATAATTCCATTATATATCTGCTTGATTCTAGTGAATATGAGGGAGGAAGAAGACGCGTAACTGATATGAATTGGTCTTCTAAGATTTATCAGATCTGTGAATCTTTAATATAAAAAAATCAACCTGTCTTATACTGGCTAATAGATGATGAGAAGAATGGTCTTTTGTGAGAGAGGAGCTTCAAATCGTTTCTCCTAATGTAGAGTATCCACCATAATGGGTGCTTGTGAATTAGATTTCTAATTCATGAAGTTTAAGTATTTTGTTTACTTCTTCTATAGACCTTTTTTGTACAACTTCTTCTTGGTTTGCGAATAAGAGATATAATTTATATATTTTTTCAAGACTCTGATATACTTCTTCATTATACCAGTCTTTGAAATCTGCCATTCTTTCATTATAAATTTCCTTATTTGAAGCTTGTTGCTTTGCTACATATCTGCAATGATCATCTGGATCCCTTTTATGTTGCATTATTTTCAAATAGCCTATATATATCAATCCTATTTTATCATATTTTTTCGTATCTTGACTATATATCACTTTAATTATCTCAACTAATGCTGATTCAATATCTTTATAATTAACCATTTTGTATAAGTATTGAATGTTTGTATTAATATAGCAAAAACTTTCGTTTAAAATAAAATATTTATTTCCCTCCTTCAGTCAAGACCTTCAGAAGAAATAGTTAATATAGTGTATTTTTTTATTATATAAACTTATCCTTTGGTTTATAAAATCACTTTGCAGTTGTGAAACAACAAAAAAGCATGATAGGTGAATATTATTGCAATTATTTACTCATGACTGAATATATCTGTAGGCAAACTTATTATTGATCTGAAGGGTGTTTTGAAAATTGAAAAGCTAAACTTCGCTTTCCCTGTAAGGGTTTGTGATAAGCCGACTAACTCTGAACCTGACCTTTGTAGAAAGCATTCTGGTACCTATTATGTAATCCAATATTTTAATAGGCTTTAGTCTAAAGCTAATACTGATGATTTAATCTAGATGAAAATTGATGAATTGCTTTTAGAGCTATCAGCCGACAAAACCTCCCTTTGAAGCTATCGCCAAGAAAACCTAGCTTCTTTTTTCGAATTTAGTAAGAAAAAAGGCATGCTATTCTGATTTTTTTTATACTATAATAGCTTTTTTTTCACCTAAGGTTTGTCCGCTCTTCCTGCTTGGTTCGTCCAGGTGAAAATTTTTTATTTTGCTAGGTGTTATTTTTCAAAAAAGTCTAATTAGAATGCTTTGAAAATAAGATTGAGACGCATTTTGATAATTATTATTCTTAAGCATTCAGGTAAAAAAAATCAGTCTGCATGCTTTCCTACTAGGTGTAAATTTTTATTATGTCAGAATTATAATCAGAAAGGTGCGCAAAGGCAAGAAAACAAATTAGTAATTTTGATAAGTAAGAGGGGCTAGAAAATAATATTTGTCAACTATAATTCTTAAAGTTCTCAGACAAAAATAATGTGATCTATAAATGCTTCTCATTAGATGTAAATTTTTATTATGTCAAGATTATAATCAGAAAGGCGTGCGAAGGCAAGAAAACAAATTAGTAATTTCATTGAGTAAAAAGAGCTAGAATATGTTCTAAGAATACTAATTTTATTGATATACTAGAACTATATTTTGAGAATCCTAGAACGGTGAAATTAATAAGTATTTATTTTAGTAGCAGAAAGGGTTGGAATTATAAATTTTAATAACTATTATTATTAGGCTCCCAGGTAAAAATAAATCAGTCTATACACCCCTCTAACCAATTAGTAATTTTGATAAATAAGAGAGGCTGGATTACGTATTTTGATAACTATCATTCTTAAGCTTTTAAATAAAAATAAATCGGTCTGCACGCCCTCTCAGCTGTTCATATAGCAAGTTTAAAATATTTGTAAAAAATCAGGAATTTTTTATTTGATGATTGATATTGTATTACACTATTTTGAAAATGACAATAAAAAGTTAATAAAATATATATTAAACTATATTTTTTATGTAATAATTATATTATTAGTATTAATATTTTATTTTTTATTAAAAATTAATACTTTTATTATTTTTGCAAACAAATTTGCCTGCTTTACAGTTTAAGAGATAAAGTATCTATATGATTTGTAATATAATTTATTAATATAATATTTGTATTATTTTTATAAAAAGTTTGTTTTATCTTATAAAAGAATTTAATTTTTTAATTTTTAAAATAAAAATAATAAAAATTTTAATATTTTATCTTTATATAATTATAAATATAATAATTTTTAATTTTATAGTTCATTTTATAGAATTATAAAATTAAGGTTAAAATTTTAAATATTTTTAAGTAAATATTATTTTTAATTATAAATTTATATCTTAAATTTATAAATAATATAAATTATTTAATTTATTAAATAAATTTATAATAATTTATTAGTAATTTAGTAAAAAAAAAAACTATTAAAATTAGATTTTTAAATATATTATTAAAATTTGTTTTATTAAATATATCAATAATATATTTCTTTAAAAATAATAATATTAATATAATATTAATCTGCAAAATTTATTTTTTTAGTCAATTTATCTTTTAACAGTTTTGCAAATAAATTTATCTGTAATTTCTAAAATTAGTTAATTTTTAATCTAAATATTATTCAAAATTACCCTGATCATTATATAATTTTACAGTTATTTTGATTAATACTTTTATTATCAAATGTAAGATTACAAACTTGGTCAATTATTTAAACTAAGATCAAAAATTTATTTACAAAATGACTAATCAGAGTTTTCAAAATTTAAAAACTTAAACAAATATATTATTTTTTTTTAGTTTTTTCACACAATTTTATTCAAATTTTTCTAAACTATAAAAATTTTAAAAACTTCAGAAACTTCATATTTAAATGTAATATTATTGAATTTTCACAAAATAACCTATTATTAAATGATATTGATAATGGTAAACAAAGTAATAATAATATTATTAAATTTATAATAAAAATATTAATAATAGAAGTAAAGATAAAGTAAGGGTAGAGCAGATCTAAAGATACTAGGAAAAAAGGTTATAGTAATGATAAACTGTAAAATTTTTATTACATCTATTTTTAATACTTTTTAACATTTTAAACTTTTACATGATTTTATGATAATTTTATCTAGAAAATATTAATTTTTACTATTATCTTATTCAATTTTTTGTCTTTTTTTTCTCTTAAACAAATAATAATAATTATTAAAAATACAAATATATATGCATATATAAAACAAGCAGAAAAAGAACATAAATGAAAAGAATTAATAATAAAGAAATTTTAAATTTAATTAACAATAGTAATATATACTAGTATTTTTAAATTATCTAGTATTTATAACTATTGAAATAAAAAATAGTAGATTTTTTGAATATAAAGTTGCAACATTTATAACACTACTCCATTTTAAACAGGTATTAAT